ATGTAGGACTCTGAGATCATGACCTGAGCCGAAGGCAGAGGCTTTAACCCACTGAGCCACCCAGGCACCCCACAATTCCCATTTTTTATAGGTGACATATAAAAATGTCCCTGTGCCCTCTCTTCCACCCCCAGGTGTTCTCTCCCTAAATTTTCCTGTTTTTTTTTTTTTTGTTGTTGTTGTTTGTTTTTTTAATATTTTATTTATTTATTTGAAAGAGAGAGAGAGAGAGAGAGAGAGAACGAGTGCAAGCCAGGGGAGAGGCAGAGGGAGAGAGAAAGGGAAAAGCAGACCCTCTGCTGAGCAGGGAGCCTGATATGGGGCTCAATCCCAGGTCCCCGGGATCATGACCTGAGCCCAAGGCAGATGCTTAACAGACTGAGCCACCCAGGTGCCCCTAAATTTACCTGTTCGATGGATGAAAGTGGCATCTCATTTTCATTTATGTTCTTTTTGTCTTTGGGTTGTTTTTTCTTACTGATGTATAAAATTGCTTTGTAATACAGGTATCAACTCCTGTCAGTCATCTGCCTTGAAAGTTTGTTTGTTGTTGTTGTTGTTTTTAAAGAGTTTATTTATTTTTGACAGACAGAGCTCACAAGTAGGCAGAGAGGCAGGCAGAGAGAGAGAGAGGAGGAAGCAGGCTCCCCGCTGAGCAGAGAGCCTGATGTGGGGCTCCATCCCAGGACCCTGAGATATGACCTGAACCGAAGGCAGAGGCTTAACCCACTGAGCCACCCAGGCACCCCGAAAGTTTGTTTCTAAACCTTGATTGTTTATGGGAACTTTGCCATGCAAAATATTAAATTTTTACTTAATCAAACCTATTTCTCTTTTCTTTGGTGTTCCTCATTTGGTTAAGGTCTTCCCTACCCTAGATAATACATGTAGTCTCCTAGATTTTCTTCTAAGATTCTTGTTCTTTAAAAACATCGGTTTACCTGAAATTGATATGTAATATGAGAGGAATTACTTTTTCCTTCTTCCATATGGTCCCTTGCATTCCCTATATGTTAAATAAATCCTCCACTAAATTGAAATGCCACCTTTATCATATATCAGCAGCCTCAGTACATTTAGAATTTTTTTTCACATTTGTCTTTATTCCATCTGGAATTATATAACATTTATTAATTTTTAGGGAAAGCCGTTAAATTTTCCCATCCCAGAATGTAGATTATCTTTTCATTTATTTAGGTTTTGTGGCCTTACTTAAGATTTTATAGTTTTCTTCATACATGTCTTGTGTCTTCCTTATTACCTTACGACCTGTTCCTTAAATATTTTATATGTTTGTAGCCATCATGAGTGGAATTTTTCCTTGTATTTCCATTTTTGGATACTAATTGCTAATGTAAAGAAAATCTATTAATGTTTGAATATTTTTCTTGTAGTAAGCCACCTTACCCTATTTTCTTTTTTTTTAAAAAAAAGTTTGTTGGGGCACCTGGGTGGCTCAGTGGGTTAAAGCCTCTGCCTTCGGCTCAGGTCATGGTCTCAGGGACCTGGGATAGAGCCCTGCATCCGGCTCTGCTCAGCGGGGAGCCGCTTTCTCCTCTCTCTCTGCCTGCCTCTCTGCCTACTTATGATCTCTGTCTGTCAAATAAATAAAATCTTAAAAAAAAAAAAGTTTGTTTATTTTTAAGTAAACTCTGCACCCAGCTTGGGGGTGGAACTCATGACCCTGAGACCAGGGGTTGCTCGCTCTTCTAACTGAGCCAGCCAGAAGCCCCGTCCCTATTTTCTTATTAATTAAATAGTTTTCTTATTAGAGTCTCTTGTGTTTTCGTGGTATTCAGTGACAGCAAAAGAGAAATAGTTTTATCTCCTTATATTCAGTGGTTAAACCAGTTATTTCATTTCTTGTATGGTATTAACTAGTAATGATATATCCCTTCCTAGTTGCTGATATTAATTGAAATGGTTTTACTATTTAACCTTTTGGAATGATAATTATGTTTTTGGTAGATTTTATCATTTATTGTAGTCCTCTCTTCCTTTTATTAGAAGTGATTATGGAGTTTTAGCAAATGTGTTTTCAGTATCTACAGATAGGATCATGTGGCTGTTGTGTAAGCATTCTTGACTCAGGATGTACAAGAGTGAATCTTGCCGTTAGACTGTTTGGAGTGCCCTTGACTCTCACCCTTGTTTCTCCTGCTCTGTTGAAGTGTCTTCTTACATGGTCCAATAGCAAACTCTCCAGAAGCTTTGTGGTTCGAATTTGGTTATAATTGTTATAACCTTACTGTTAGAGGTTACTTTGCAAGTCTGTGGAGTGTGAAGGTGAAATATTGTGTCCCATTTGTGTTAAGAAAATTCTTGTTTTTCTTTTTTGTATTGTCTCTGAGGGTTTGGTGTCAGTTATGTTGGCTTTATAAAAAAAAAAAAAAAACTAGTATTTTTTTTCTGCTCAGAATAGCTTGAATAATACAGTAATTTTCTGCTGCTTGAGACTAGGAGAAACTGCTCACAAAATCCTTATGGGTGTGCTCCCCTCCCCCCTCCTCCCTTTCGATGGTGTGTCTTTAACAGCCTTTCGTTGTGTTTTTTACTCATTGATCCAGTCAAGGATTTTTCTTCTGTAATCAGTTTTGGATATGCGTGTTTTGCTATAGAAGGCCCTCATGTTTTTTGTATCAAGCGTATTATGGAGTTAAATCTCTGACAGGGGTTTTATTTCTCCTGGCAGCCTCGTCTTTGGGCATATTTTTTTCCCCCAGTATGGATTTAAAACCCAAGAAATCTCATTGTCCCATAAAATGGTAGATGTGGCAAGATGAAGAGTATAAAGGTGACCTTGAGCATTTTCTGAGGAAAGGGCCTTGCGTTCTGTAGTCCTGCTTGACCGCAGTCTTGCTCTGGTCCTCCAACAGGACCGCCCCAGATGAGCCTGGTCTTTCTCACGTGTTGTCACTTTTTCTTTGTGCTCCTTAAACACCTTATTGTAGTTCTGTTCACTAGGATGATCCGCAAAAAAAGAAAAACCTACCCTAGAAACATAAACCAGATATACAAGGGGTAGTCTGTGTTGAGAGGTGATCGTACATTAAAATGGTCCCTGGATCCTGGACTCACTCAGAATCTTCTGCTAGGCTTTCCCTTATCGCAACACAGCCAGTTGTACTCTGCTTCTTCCCCAGTACTTTGTCTTTTCAGGTTGTGGTTTGTTGTTTGTTTTGTTTTTAATTTTTGGATAAATGCTTTCTGTTTGTTTGTTTTTTCCTCAACCATGTGAATGTATATATCTTACTGATTTGGAAAGATTTCTAAGCTAAATTGCTAAGGAAACAAGTCACATTATAGATGTAATGTTTTATTTAAAAAACAACTATAAACATGAATGCTCAACAAATATATGCTTCTAGATTTGCTTATATAAGCATATGGAAATATATGGAAGCTTTTACCTTGGTGAGTGGGTTGCAGGGAGGAAACGATCATTTGTTGATTAACATTTCTGTATTGCATGTATTACATCGGTAACTTCAGAAAATTTCTTTCAAAAACCTTTCGATCTGGGTGCCTGGGTGGCTCAGCCTGTTGGGCATCTGCCTTCTGCCCTGGTCGTGATCCTGGAACTCCCTGCTTGGTTGGGGGCCTGCTTCTCTCTGCCCTTCCTCCCACCCCAGACTCGCACGCTCTCTCCTTCTGAAATGAATAAATAAAATCTTTAAAAAAATAAAACCTCTCTACTGGTTTCAGCATTTCAGTTCATTCTTTCGTAAGTGCATGCAGTCAGCCACCTTAAATCTGGTTCACATTAAATACATCAAGATAATTACCTTTTGGGGACATTTGCGTTTAGTTCCATCTTTTAGTGTTCTTTATTGTAGGACTGTTGTTTTTTGTTTTTTGTTTTTAGTGGTTTTCATGTTTTTTCTGTAGTTTTACTTTTCTTTCCTCCTCCTATTCCTCCTCCTTCCCCTCCTCCCCTTCCTCTCTTCCTCCTCCATTTTGTTTTGTTTTGTTTTGTTTTTGGTTTAAATAATCCCTATAATCCAACCTGGGGCTCAAACTCATGATCCCAAGATCAGGAGTTGCATGCTCTTCGACTGAGCCAGCCAGGAGCTCCTGCTCTTTAGTTTTTAATAACATTTTTATAAAGGACAGTCTAATAAAACTGGGTTTCAGACTTTTTTTTTAAGAGTAGATGACTTTTTTTAGATGAAATCTCATTTGGATGCCCTATGTGTGAAACAACTTTCATGGATCTGTAGTTCTCAGCATAGTTTAAAAATCACTGTAATAAAATACTTAGGTAATGTTAAAAGTACATGCTGACCCGGACACTTCAGAGAAGCAGGCGGTATCATCCTGCCATCATCTGCTGTTCAAGATGTTTGTGACTTGTGTGAACACTGCATTTCAGACAGGAAAAACATGCTAGGGGTGTTAGCCGCCAAATGTCATTTGCTTAAGAAATTAATATAGTGAGTAGAGAATTGCATCTTTAATCAACTACAAGATTATGTGACAACATAAATGTCATTGTTAGGAAGGTAAATGGCCACTTCTGGTCGGCGGCTGCTAATGAAGGTTCTAGAGAGTTCATCCAACTTGAGATAGTTTAACAGATTAGATATTTAAAAGTTTGTAATTCAAAATAGCCAACATAACCCCATTACCTGTTTACATAAATAACATTTTTATGAAAAATAACTTCTCTAAAACAAAATTAGTGAGAAGAGCATTGCTTTACAGTTACAAGTTGCCCTTACTACTTGCCTAAGTAGAGGTTGGTAGAATTCTTGCATCTACTTTTGCATGCACTCTGTTATATCACTGGTGCTGTGGCCTCAGGAGTGGGACACAGGAGAGTAAAGAGGCAGATGCCTTCTTGGTATGATAATGAAAATAGGTGTGACCCCTCTGGAGTCCCTGAGCCAGAGGCAGTTCCCATCCACACTTCGCAAACCATTGTGTACGCCAGTTTGTGAGCTGGAGGATTCCTGCTTTGTTGCAAACGCTCCATGAACTCTTTCTTTGCTTTGTTGCAGAGTCCTTTGGGCAGAATTATCCGGAGGTAAGAGGATAGTCTTTTTTTTTTAAAGAGTATAATCTTATTGTGAATTTAGGAGTATGATAACTTGCTTTCTTTTGTGTTTGAGTGGAAAATGTTATTTTATCCCCCCCCCCACTTTTCTTTGACAGTAGAAGCTTTAAGTATGATGATGCCTCTTTTGCTATAATAAGGAACTCAATGTTTAATTTTGAGAATAGAGGAAATATATAGGCAATATTGGTGGGAAATCTCACCCATAGCATTTTAATTTTACACAGTTCATTTCCCAGTAAATTAAAAACAGTACTTTGAAGAATTTTTCACAATCAGTACTATCACCTGTATGTAGGGTTTTTTCCCTTAGTGCTTTTCTAGTTTCAATCAATCAGTGTTTTTGCATAGTAGTAATATGTATGTTCTACTTTACTTTTTAAAATGTAAGAATATTTTGTAATGCTTGAAATGTGTTTCAGTGTAGTCATTATGGTTATTTTAAATGGCTTGTTATGAACACAAAATAATGTATTTGACTTTCCTAATACTGCACATACAGGTTGTTCTAGGGGTTTTGTTTTAAACTGTTTTTCTTGGACTAAATCCCAAGAACTGATTATTGGGTCAGTAGGATGACTCTGTTCAGTGAATCTTGTTATATTGCGTAATTGCCCTGCCCGGTGGGTTCAAAGTCAGACTGGTAATGAATGGGATTTATCACATCTGTTTATCACTTACTTCCTTGTTTTGGCTCGTTTAATAGGTACAAGAACACACATAGAGTTTCTTTTGGCATACGTCATAATTTAAAGAGTACTGTCATATAGGTGATAGAGAGTCTTTAAGAAATAATTTGGGTACCTGGATGGCATTGTCTATATTCTTGTATTCATTTTAATTTTTAGGAAGCCGATGGAACCTTGGATTGTATCAGCATGGCCCTGACTTGCACCTTTAACAGGTGGGGCACGCTGCTTGCGGTTGGCTGTAACGATGGCCGAATCGTCATCTGGGATTTCTTGACAAGAGGCATTGCTAAAATAATTAGCGCGCACATCCATCCCGTTTGTTCTTTATGGTAAGAAATTGTAACACTAATATGTTGAATCTGAGTTGAGTTAGGGGGATGAGTGGTGACTGTGAAATTGCCAATCTAATTGTACTAGATATTTTAATACTTAGAGTTTTAAGTGTTCAGTCATTAGTAGTACAATTTCTCATAGCATCTGTAGACCTTGAAAAAATGCTATCCTTGGAGCACCTTTGTCGGGGAGAAATTGAGTGTGTACTTGTGGATCTGCGTCGGGTTCTGTCTGAGAATATTTCAGTGCTGAAATGAGATATTTACAGATTGCACCTGTAGTATCATTTGTGATATTGACCTTTCTTTTAGAATGGACAATCTTGATTAGGAGGGAAGCGTGGAAATCATCTGCTTCAGCTTTGTCCAAGTTCTTGAATTCCAGCAGTCTTAGTGCTCACAGGCATGTCTGTTCCTTCACTGAATCATAGTTAAGATTTTCTATCAAATAGATTGAGCTAAACTCTAGTGTAATATAAATTCCTATTGATCTCTTTCTTACTCTCAGTGACTACTGTGTTTGCTTTGGAGAGTTTTATTTTAGGGCAGCTCTTCTTCTAAATGAGCTTGGACCAAAAAAGGCATCTTATCAGATCTAGATTTTTTTTTTAAGATTTTATTATTTTTTTTAGAGAGCGAGCAAGTGTGTACAAGTAAGCTGGGGGTAGAGTAGAGGCGGAGGGAGAAGGACAAGCGGACTCCACACTGAACAGGAGTCCCATGTAGGGCTCAGTCTCATGACCTCGAGATCAGGACCTGAGCTGAAATCAAAAGTAAGATGTCGGGCGCCTGGGTGGCTCAGTTGGTTAAGCGACTGCCTTCGGCTCAGGTCATGATCCCGGAATTCCAGGATCGAGTCCCACATGAGACTCCCAGCTCCATGGGGAGTCTGCTTCTCCCTCTGACCTTCTCCCCTCTCATGCTCTCTCACTCTCTCTCTCTCTCAAATAAATAAATCAAATCTTAAAAAAAAAGTAAGATGTCCAACCAGCTGAGCCACCCAGGCGCCCCACAATCATATCTAGATTTATGAAACTATAACCTATTTTCTTTTGTGCAAATGGAAATGGCAGCTGTATTGTAAAGCACTGGATTGGGAGGAGGCCTGAATCCCAGTCTAGGATTGGCTGCTAATGAACTAGCTTTGGCCAAAACTTCTCAGTAATATGCAAAATGAGAGTATTAGCCACTCCCACCTGTTAAAATAATGCATTTATTTTTATTATAAAATAATATATTATCATTTAGAACATTATGGAAAATATAGCAAAGCAAACAGAAGTACTGGTATCTCCCATATTCCCACCACCCAAGTAATTACTACTGTAAAGATTTTAGTCTGTTTTTATATATGGGTTTTAAAGAGCAGAATTTAGGGGCGCCTGGGTGGCTCAGTGGGTTAAAGCCTCTGCCTTCGGCTTGGGTCATGATCTCAGGGTCTTGGGGTCGAGCCTAGCATTGGGCTCTCTGCTCAGCGGGGAGCCTGCTCCCCCCTCTCTCTCTGCCTGCCTCTCTGCCTACTTGTGATCTCTCTCTCTCTCTCTCAAATAAATAATAAAATAAAATCTTTTAAAAAAAAAAGGCAGAATTTATAATTGTGCTATGTTCTGTTTTATATTTTGCTTTTTTTCCTCTGTAACACCAGACAGTTTCCTACTTTCATAGCCTCTACAAACTTTTTTTTTTTTACAGCTATATATCTTCTTATGGATAAATTATAATTTATTTAACAGTTTTTTGCTAGTTTCTCTGCTACATGTTTTTAGTAAATGTCTTTGTGCATAAACTTTTTCACTTACATATTCATTCATTCAACAACACTGAGCATGAATTACGCAACAGGTACAGGTCCTGAAGCTTTATGGTTCCCGTGCAAGAAATGTGTTGGGGGTTCAGTGGAGGCGAAGGTGCGAAGGAGGAGATGACCCATGTCCAGGAGAACAGTGGTCAGGAAAGGCTTCTAGGCAAGACAATATCTAGCCTCAAACTTGGAAGTTATAATAAGTGTTTGCCAGTTGTAGTCCAAGCAAGGGACGCTGCCCAGGCAAAGGTCTGTTAGCTTCAAACAAGCACGAGAAATGGGGAACCGCAGGTGGTTCAAGAACGCTGGATTGTGGCGTGGGAGATGTGATGGGGCAAGAGCCAGTAAGCTGAGATCCTCATGAAGGATGTTGTGTACCAGAGTATGAATTTGAACTTCATCTTGTAGGTAACTATGAATCCATTAAGACATCATAGGAAAGAAAAGTGGTATGATGAGCTTTTTATTTAAGAAAAAAATCTCCAGGACAGCATGTATTAAAGAGATTGAAGGAGACAGAGAATGAAGATAAGGGAAGTACAGAGATCTTGGCTAGAGATGATGAGCTCAACAGCCCCACAACTATGACTGAGCCGTACTGATAGAGGAGAGGACAGAAGCTACAGTCCTGGTCGTGGTCACATGAGGAGTCTGAGTGAAGCGCCAGAGTTCTGGCTTGGATGAAGACACTACTGTAGAATTTAGGGGGAAATGGTTTAAGTTTGAGATCATGGCTGTGTGTCTCCTATTATTTTATTGCAAATATTTGTCCTATGAGTATCTTCCCTGCGAGATGGTAAGTGCTGTGATTCATGAACCTTGAATGCCATTTTACTCCATACTCCTAGCTTCTGGGTTTTGTGTTTGTGTTTTTCCCCAGGCTTCTAATTTTGTGCCTGCTTATAGAGTTTGGAATTGTTGGCTATATTATTATATGTTTTTCAGTGGGAGAGCCCCTCTTAGTTTTCATTTGTTTATAATTTCATTTTCAAAATTAGAGTCCTTTCCATTTTAACAGAAATACAAGCTTACTGTGGGAAAAAGAGAAAAGGGTTTTATAATACAAAAGGATTTAAAGAAAAAATGGGGGGGCCTGGGTGGCTAAGTTGGTTGGGCGTCTGCCTTCGGCTCGGGTCATAGTCCCAGTACCCTGGAGTGGAGCCCCACATTGGGCTCCCTGTTTGGCGGGATGTCTGCATCTCCCTCTCCCAACTCTCCCTATGCCCCTCCCTCTTGGTCATGTTCTCTCTCTCTCTCTCACTTTGTTCCTTGTTCTCAAATTTTTTTTTTAAAGGAATTTATTTATGACAGAGCAGAGAGGGAACACAAGCAGGGGGAGTGGGAGAGGGAGAGGCAGGCTTCCCACTGAGCAGGGAGCCCGATGTGGGGCTCAATCCCAGGATCCCAACATTGCGACTTGAGCCGAAGGCAGATGTGTAATGACTGAGCCACCCAGGGTTTAAAAGATTTAAATAAAATCTTTTAAAAAAATGGAATGATAACTGACGTTCTGTCCTGTAGTCAGATTGTACTGTAAGACTTACAAGAACAGCAAGGAAAGCTGTCCCTTTTTTCTCCTCACTCCCAGTATGGTCTCGTTCCCTGTGTGCTTTCATTTTTTGGTCTGTTTTTTTTTCGGTATTTATCTTCATATTTCTAGATGATATGTATATGTTACTTTTTCTTGGTTTGTTGATTTCAGAAATTATCCATGGACATCCTGTTACACTGCCTGCAAGTTTTAGCCCACTGTCTTACCCTCCTATCATTCACTGAAGTGGGGTGGGTCACTGGCTTTTTTGTTGTGAATCCTAACAGAAGGGCATCTTCAGGGACACCTGGGTGACTCAGTCGGTTAAACGTCTGCCTTTGGCTCAGGTCATGATCCCAGGGTCCTGGGATCGAGTCCCAGGTGCAGCTTCCAGCTCAGCAGAGAGTCTGCTTCCTCCTCTGCCTGCCCATCCCCCTGTTTGTGCATGCGCTCCAGTGCTCTCTCTTTCCCTCTCTCTGACAAATAAATACTCTTAAAAAAAAAAAAAAAAAACAACACAAAAAGGGCACCTTCAGGCCCCTTTTTTTTTTTTTTTTTTTTTTTTTTTTTAAGGTTCGCATTCTCTAGAAGGATCTTCTTTCTATTTGCCTTTCTGAGGGTTAAGCAGGACTGCAGGTGTTCTAGAGCTGGTGGGAGAGAGACACCAGAGTCCTTTGGTATACAGACTTGAACTTGATCCCTTTATATTCACTTCCTTGTTTTACCCCTGACTTTCTCTGGCCCTTGAGTCCCAAGTCTGGGCAAACATTCATCTTGTCTCTGATACAAATAATTGTTAATGTTTTTTGAATCGTCATTATGTGTCAGGTATTGGGATAGAAATTTTATATATACTGATCTTAATTCTGTCAACGGTCTTCTGCTGGGTAGGTAATATTATGGCTCCTGTGTTATAGGCGAGGAAATGAAAGCTCAGAACGGTCTATAACTTGCCCAGGATCACACAACTACAAGGTGGTAATGTCCAGGTTTCAGCATAAGTCTAACTCTTGAGCCTGCGTCCTTAACCACGGAGATACACTGCCAGCCGAGTTCCTCGGCCGCAACTCCTCTTCATTGTAAAATTGGGGTAAATACTGGTTTTGGGTTTCTCTGTCCCTTATGTTTCTTTTTCTTTTTCATTTTTATAAAAATTTATTTATTTTTGTCCCTTCTGTTTCTCACTTTTCCCCCTGCCTTCCTTTGGGTTTCTTGAACATTTTTTAGAATTCCACTTTATCTGCTGCAGTCCCCCTTATCTTTGGTTTCCCTTTCCGTGGTTTCAGTTACCTGTGATCAGCCATACTTAGGCAGCCGATGATTCTGACATGTCAGAAGGGCAGTAGTGGCCTAAGGCTGCATCACGGTGCCCGTGTCGTTCCCTGTGCTTCATGTCCTCACATGGGCGCTCCATCATCCCACACCACACAGGAGGGCGCAAAAGAAGAGAATTTGAGAGAGAGAGACCACAGACAACTTTGATTTTCTTATTGTGCCGAACTTATAAATGAAACTTTCTCATAGGTATGTTACTTACCCGAAAACGCAGTGTACGTGGTGTTTGTTACTATTGGTGGCTTCAGACATCCATTGGGGGGTCTTAGTATCCCCCATGAATAAGAGGGAACTGTATAATATTTTTGAGGGTACTTGTGTAACTTTTCAGTGGTTACTAGATACTACGTTGTGTATACCTAACTTATTACAGCCTACTGGTGTTGACATTTTACCAGTTCAAGTGAAGTATAGAAATGGTAAAATTTCCATTTACCCCTCTTTGTATATAATTGTCTTAAATATTTCCTCTGTATACATTGAGACCCACATAAGACAGTGTTACAAATTTTGGTTCATATGTCAAAGCTAGAGTGAAAAAAATTGACCTTATTTACCTATATTTTTATTCTTTTCATAGTTCTTTTTCCCTCATGTCCTGAGATTCCTTCTTTTATCATTTCCTTTCCATTTAGAAAACTTCCCTGAATCATCCTTTTAGGGTAGATCTGGCCAAAGGTCTTGATTTACCTTTTGGCTCCTGAAGGATATTTTTGCCAACAATAGAATTTGGGTTGGCAGCTTTTTTTCTCTCAGCACGTGAAGAGTGCCCCACACCCTTCCATGCTTTCTGGTGAGAAATCTGCACGTGACTTGCTTCCATAGGTAACATGTCCTTCCTCTCTCGCTTTGTCTTTAGGCTTCAGAGATTTGTCTCTGTATCTTGGACTCACCCTGTTGGACGTTTGCTCAGCTTCTTGATTCTATAGGTTTTCTATCGTTTGCCAGATTTGGGGAAATTTCAGGAATTATTCCTTCAGTACCTGAAAGCCGCATTCTTTCTTCTCTTCTTGGACTCTGGTGATGTGGATCGTAGATCTTTTATTACAGTCCTACAAGTCCCTGAGGTTCTGTTCATTTTTTTTGGTCTGTTTTTTCTCTTACTCAGATTGGGTAATTATTACTCTGTTTTCCAGTTCACTGATTCTTTCCTTCTCCATTGGCTCCTGAACCCATCTATAGGATTTCTTATTTCAGTTTGTGTTTCATTTCTAAAATTCAGGTCTTCCCTACATCTTTTATTTCTTTGCCGATACTTTGTTTTGTTTTGTTTTGTTTTGTTTTCATTTATTTCAAGCATGTTCGTAATTACTTACTGAAACATATTTATGATGACTGCATTAAAATCCTTGTCAGATAATTCTAACATCTGTATTATGTCACTGTTAGTATCTGTTGATTGTCTTATCTCATTCAGGTCAAGATTTTTGTTGTTGTTGTTCTTGGATTGATAGTCATTTTCAATTGAACTTGCGCGTTTTGGGTATTGTAAGACTGTAGGGCATATTTAAATCTTGTGTTTTAACTGGCCTCCTTTGACACTGTACCAGCAGAGAAGAAAGGGCAACGTCTTGTTAATTGCCAGGTGGGTTAGATGTCCAAGTGTTGTGGCTTTACTGTGCTAGGTGGGGGTGGAAGTGGAGGTTCCCCACTGGCCTCCCGGTCTGAACCATGCTGGCTGGGAGGGATAGGAGTACCTTCTTCTTCTTCTCCAGTGGCCTTCACTACTCATTCCAGGCTGGTGGGTATGGAAACCTGGCTGCCTGCCGAGCTTTCTCTGGGACCAGTGCAGTTAGTGGAGAAGGGTGCCTTGCTATGACTAGGAAAGAGTGGAGGTCTAGATTCTGTTTAGATTCTGTTGACTGGGATGGAGTTGGGGCTGCAGTTTTTTCCATGGTGGTTGCTGGAGTAGAGTCATTATTGCCTAAAAGTTTTCTGTCTCTCTGTGCCGTCCTTTGCTGGTCCTTTGGCTAGTGAAGCAGGCTCTTCTTGAGGCCTTATTTGTGTGAGCCTGTTGGTATTGTTGGGCTGTTGGTTTCTCCATCACTCAGTCTAGGATATATGTAAGGCAAAAAAGAAAATCCAAGGAACGAACTTTCTTTCTTTGTTTCTTTTTTTTTTTTTTTAAGATTTTATTTATTTGACAGAGAGAGAGATCACAAGTAGTCAGAGAGGGCAGGCGGAGAGAGAGTCCAAGGAACTTTCTAATGTGTCATTCCTCATATCCTGTAATCTCTAGTCAATCAGTTTTTCCTCTGCCCTTCGGAGTCTTTTTTTTTTTTTTTTTTTTTTTAATCAAGATTTTGTTTATTTGCGAGAGCACAAGCAGGAGCAGTGGCAGAGGGAGAGGGAGAAGTAGGTTCCTGGCTGAGCAGGGAGCCCGATCCCAGCACCCTGAACTGAGATCATGACCTGAGCTGAAGGCATATGCTTAACGGACTGAGCCACCCAGGCGCCCCCAGTCTTTTTGTGTTTGTTTTATGTGTAATGTTCAGGGTGTTTAACTATACTTAGCAGGAGGAATTAAATCCTTTCTTAGTTATTTTAAATAACGGATACTTCCTTTTGTTGTTTTGTGTATGCTGTGGTGGTGCTGTTTCTGGGACAGCCTCAGAAAACTCAGGTGCTCCCTCACCCCCGACCCCCGGAATACTTGTTACCTCAACATTTAAGAGCGAGCAGCCTGTAGACTCTGAAACGTTTGAGTCTTTTATTTCCTGGAGCCGTTTGTTACTATCGTCTTGCACTGTTACGAGCATTTGTTACTCCATACAAAAATGTCATGAAGACATTATTCATTGTTTCGTTGGGAAAGTTTGTGGATTTGAGTAAATATAAAAAGAAAGAATTATTGTTGGCTCCTGCAGCTAGGGCAGGAAGTGACTCATGTATTTTTGTCCTTAAGAGTTGGTACAGTGTACCTGAACTTACGATATGTGCTAAACTACCCCTTTTTCTCCTAGCTGGAGTCGAGACGGCCATAAGCTCGTGAGCGCTTCCACGGACAACATAGTGTCGCAGTGGGACGTTCTTTCTGGTGACTGCGACCAGAGGTTTCGGTTCCCCTCACCCATCCTGAAAGTCCAGTACCATCCGCGAGATCAGTATGTTTCATCTGCGTGGCTCCCCCCCGGGGCAGGGTCTCATTCTCTGTGGACTAGCTCCAGGCTTATGACAGTTGCAGTGGGGGGCTGTAGCAGGCAAGAGCACACATCTCTTCACATCATCTGCATAAAACGATGTTCTGTCTAAGTTGGCTCCACTGCATAGTTTTTAAGGAGACTGTTACTGTATCATATAATTAAAAACCAGGCAGTGTTCAGGCTTTGGAAGTGGGCAGAGGTAGGAAGAAGAATAATTAACTGGTCCTCAACCTGGAGGTTTCCACACACACCCCCCCACCAGCCCCTTATCCTCCATCCTCCCCTGGTTATTTGAATTTCCTGAGAGGGAAATAGTTTGAATATTAAAACTATTTTTTTTTAAATGAAACTACGTTTAAAACTACATTTAAGAAAAAGAGTTACCCACCATTCCATTACCCAGACGTAACTGTCTTCATTTCTCTTGGTTCTTTATTAGTCAAGTTCTCTCTGAGTATAATGCTTGTTACCTAGTGCTGTATATAACTCACAAAGCGCGTTCTCTGCAGATGAGATGTACATAAATTATGTATATTATGCAGTTTTCGTTAGCATTTTGCCTTTTTATTGCATACATATTTCTTCTTCTAGTTTGCTGCTACTTCATATTTATTTTTAATGACTGCATTTTATTTTGTCAAACTAGGATCCCAACAGCTATGTTCAGTCGCTTCCCTGTTACTAGACATTTAGACGTCAGGCTTTTTCACTCTTTTAAATTTGCTTGAGCTGGGAGAGTTGATGGAGGTAGTGACAGGGCTCAGGGAAGAGGGCAGGAGCATCAGCCTTCTGATACCAAAGCAACAGCCAATGTACTGTTCATATTTTTAAACAGGAACAAGGTTCTCGTGTGTCCCATGAAATCTGCTCCTGTCATGTTGACCCTTTCAGATTCCAAGCATGTTGTTCTGCCGGTAGACGATGACTCCGATTTGAACGTGGTTGCATCTTTTGATAGGCGAGGGGAATATATCTATACGGGAAATGCAAAAGGCAAGGTAAGCCTGGAAGCTAGTGAAAGAAGCATCAGTCGTCCTGTGCACTGGTTTACTTCATGTTGACTTGTTCTGCTTCCTTTGAAATATTTTTTATCCCTGGACAAAGCATGTCTTCTCCCTTTGGCAACTGTGGCCTGCTTTTATCTCACGCCTTCGTGATAATTTCTGTTCTATTGATTTAGAGTGATCAGAGACTTCTTGGGCTAGTAAGGGTAGAAGGGCCTTTTGCTAATAACGAAGGGCCGTGACTCATTTATAAAATTTAAAAGCCATATTATAAAATGGAACACATTTGATGAAAATGTCTTAATAGTTCGGTAAATATTGTGTAATTCAGGCCAGCTTAACCTATAGTTAAGTTAAGTTACTTGGAGTAAGAAGTTAGCTGGGCTTTTAAGGTCCCTGTTTTATTTTGTTTTTTTGTTTGTTTGTTTTTAAAGATTGGAGCTTGGTGCACACCCACGTGCATGAGTGGAGGGGAGGGGCAGAGGGAGTTGGGGAGGGAGAGCAGCAGATTCCCTGCTGAGTGTGGGACCTGATCTCCTGACCCTGAGACCCAAACTGAGCCGAAACCAAGAGTCTGATGCTCAGATGACTGAGCCGTGCAGGCGCCCCTGTAAGGTCCCTTTTAAGCTTAGAGTTTGCATAGGCAACTTGTTGTGGTTTTTTTGTTACTGTTTTTTGTTTTTCGTGATTGGGGTATATAGGCTACTATAATTTCATGGCTGCCTTAGAAAGTGGCCGTTTTTGGAAGTGGTGGTAAAATACACATAACGTAAAATACAACATAAAATTTACCATCTTAACCATTCTTAAGTGTGTAGTTTAGTGGTATTAACTACATTCACATTATCGTGTACCCATCAGCACCATGTATCTCCAAAAATTCTTTTCATCTTATAACACTGAAACCCTGTACTTACTAAGCAGAAACCTCCTATTCCTTGTTCCCTCCCCAGCCCCTGGCAACCATCACTCTACTTTCTAGATCTATGAATTTGGCTCCCCTAGGTCTTTATGTAAGTGGACTCATACGGTGTTTGTCTTTAACACTAAATGTTGTATTTTAAGAACATATTAAGACATGGTTTGAAGAATTAAAAGGCAGTATCAGTTAATCAGGTTGAATACACGAGATGTTTATATTTTTACCCAGTCTCAGAAACGGAAGCCAGATCTAATAACTGTAAGTTATCAGAATACTTAACATTTTTTTTTCCTTTGAACTTTAGATTTTGGTCCTAAAAACAGATTCTCAGGATCTTGTTGCTTCCTTCAGAGTAACAACTGGAACAAGCAATACCACAGCGATTAAGTCCATAGAGTTTGCCCGGAAGGGGAGGTGAGACCTTGTCTTTTTAGGGACAGTTTTAAAAGTGAGTAGAATGCAAAAATACATTGAGATTCACAGTTTTTGTGTATATGATACCTAAATCTTTAAGAAAGTTTACTTTAAAAATAACTAGAAACAGTCAGTATCTGTTTTTTTTTTTTGTGGTTTGGTTTTTTTTTAAGATTTTATTTATTTTATTTAACAGACAGAGATCACAAGTAGGCAGAGAGGCAGGCAGAGAGAGAGAGGAGGAAGCAGGCTCCCTGCTGAGCAGAGAGCCCGATGCGGGGCTCGATCCCAGGACCCTGGGATCATGACCTGAGCCAAAGGCAGAGGCTTTAACCCACTGAGCCACCCAGGCGCCCCTGGTATCTGGTTTTTTACATTCATAGAATTTATTGCACTGAGTTGGCAGTCACATCCTCTTTTTCTGGAGATGAGCAGGCTGTCCCTTTGTAGGAAAGATATCTCGGTGTATATGCTTAGAGCTATAATGCCTGCCACACGGTACGCTCTGGGTAAAGATCAGCTGTTTTTATAACCCGAAGTGATGTCGCAGAATTCTCACAGTAATTGAACATACACTCTATTTACATAAAACTATTTACCCTTTTAGTTTCAGATGTTTTTCTGGTAAGTTTGGTTACCCAGCTAGAAGTAGATATGTCAAAAGAAATGAGAAGAGTTAGGTTGTCAGTGTCAGGAAGAGAGGTGACAGTCCTGTCTCATATAGGGCCATCCTCTGTACTTTGGACATTCATGTTCAAAATTCTTTTGAATTCAGGAAAGCTTAGTGACTTCTGTAGGAAAATAGTGAAATCATTTACCTTTTAGGCAGATTTCCAACGTCATTATAGTAAAAAGTAGAACATTTTATTTATTTTTTTTAAAAGATTTTATTTATTTATTTGACAGAGATCACAGGCAGGCAGAGAGAGGGGGGAAGCAGGCTCCCCACTGAGCATAGAGCCCGATGCGGGGCTTGATCCCAGGACCCCGGGACCACGACCCAAGCCGAAGACAGAGGCTTTAATCCACTGAGCCACCCAGGCCCCTCAAAAGTTAACATTTTAAAATGACATAGTTTATCAGCTCATTAGGAAGATTGTGTTATATATAAGATAGGCCAAAGAAATGAAGCATTCGTTCTTTGTCTAACTACGACCTTGTGAACCCAGCAAGCTGGTTTCGGTTTAGAGGTCTTGGATTTTAATCAAATACTCAAGATTTAAAAAAAAATTCTGAAGATCAGTTTTTGCACATAGGGTTTAGGGATACACAGAAAGCATACAACATAACTTCACTTCAAATTCTCTTTCGCTTTGGAAGGTGGCAAGTACATATATAAGTGTTCCAGCCTATCACGGAGTCTCCTCTCACTGGAGTAGTTTTCTGTGGTACTGTTCTAACAGGTAGGAACAGAAAACATGAACAGAAATGGATTTCTGACTTCTTGTGTTGATGTTTTTATCCTTTCTCTAGTTGCTTTTTAATTAACACAGCAGATCGGATAATCCGAGTTTATGATGGCAGAGAAATCTTAACTTGTGGAAGAGATGGAGAGCCCGAGCCCATGCAGAAGTTGCAGGACTTGGTAAATAGGTGTGTATGGCCACCTAGAAGAATAGGGGGCAGTTTGTGACCTGAGCTCAGCTTCTGGTTCTCCTTGGGTACTTTCTTTGTCCTTCAGGACCCCATGGAAGAAATGTTGTTTCTCTGGGGATGGGGAGTACATAGTGGCTGGCTCAGCCCGGCAGCATGCCTTGTACATCTGGGAGAAAAGCATTGGCAACCTGGTGAAGATCCTCCACGGGACAAGAGGAGAGCTCCTCCTGGATGTGGCTGTGAGTAGCACGGGAGCTTGCTCGTGTTACTGATGTGTAACAGACAATCTCGGATCCGTTCTTAGAGCCGATTTTCCTTTCTTTCCTTAAATTCAGTGGCACCCCGTTCGACCCATCATAGCATCCATTTCAAGTGGAGTGGTATCTATCTGGGCACAAAACCAAGTAGTAAGTATTTTTTCTGCTTCAGTTGCTTTAAAGCTAGATATCCTTTCTTTATATCACAGACCCTTATAGGTTGTAAGCTAAACATGACCTATTTCATTTCTTTTGCATGTGATTCTTGTCACCTAATTAAATCGGTTCAGTTTTGCTTTATTTTGATAGGAAGGTTTGGTCCAAAGCTGATTTACTACCTCTGTCTTCAGGGAGAAAGTCTGGTATACTTTCTGTTACATTTCTCTGTTACCCGAGAGTGAGTTTTCTTTTGCTTTTCTTATTTTCAACTTGTTAGTTTCTGTTTTATATCTTGGTTTTATTTTGAACAACTTTTATTATGTTTGTAATCCTTGTACTCCTAAGAATATGTAGCGTTTTACCTGATAATTACATCTTGAAAAGATTAAAGATGGCAGTTCTCATGAAAGAACTGTAGTTTAAGAACTTGGAAAGTTTAAGATCTAAATACCTTAGGACAGTAAAACCTATAGATACCTCATTTTCTTATCTGCCAGATCTGTTCTCCCGAGTTCTGAGTCTCGCGTGTGCTCTGATCTTTCGTTTCTGTCAGTAATGTCAAGCTTGCAGATCACTGAGTTCTCACACAGTTAAATAGTGTGTTCTGTTTGTGGCGTAGGAAAACTGGAGTGCCTTTGCCCCAGACTTCAAGGAGTTGGATGAAAATGTGGAATATGAGGAAAGGGAATCTGAGTTTGATATTGAAGATGAAGATAAGAGTGAGCCTGAGCAGACAGGTAATATTTCTCAACTGCAGTCTCTCTTTCTTTACGCTTCCACAGTTTTGACAGTGCTCTGAGAGTCTCCGTGTGGCTCGCACCAGCTGAGGGCTTCTGTGAGCCTTTTTGCCAGGGTTCAGCAGCTCTTTTGCCATTTCACGGTGTTTCCTGGTGAATTATGGATGATCACGTGATCATATGATCACATGATCACCTGCACCAGCCGGGTGCTCAGTCCGTGTTAGATACTGTCACCCCCATGGCAGGAAGATGAAGGTAAATAGCACAAATTCTGGAGTTCGACTGCCTGGGGAAAATGGCTTCTTATTCTCTAAACCCGAGTTTCCTCATCTGTAAAATAGTGGAAATAACAGAACCTGCCTTCTAGGGTTGGGGTGAATAAGAGAATTTGTGTAAGGCACCAGGGTAGGGCCTAGACCAAGGTAAGCATTCAGGTCTTATATTTGATTAGGATTTTGATAGTGATCAATGTTTGTTTGCTTTTTAAGTAAACTCTGTGCCTAATGCAGGGCTTGAACTTATAACCCCAAGAGCAGGAGTTGCCTGCTCTACCGACTGACCCAGCCAGGCGTCCCTCATTATTATTTTTATCTCAATGTCTGAACTAGGTAGGAAGCTCCTTTAGAATAGAGATTTGACTTTTCATTTATTTGACAGACAGAGATCACAAGTAGGCAGAGAGGCAGGCAGAGAGAGAGGAGGAAGCAGGCTCCCTGCTGAGCAGAGAGCCCGATGCAGGTCTCGTTCCCAGGACCCTGGGATCATGACCTGAGCCGAAGGCAAAGGCTTTAACTCACTGAGCCACCCAGGTGCCCCTGGGTGAGGTTTGACTTTTTAATCCCTATGGTTGTCTAACACAGGACTTTATATCTAATAGGGGTTCTTGTGTTCAAATGCTTAGTATTCCTGGTTGTAAGTTAATTACTCACTAAGTAATTAACGACACGGGTCATTGCCTGCTGGACCACCTGATGGTGACAGGAATCCGGGAATTGGGATTGGGGTTGGTTCTTCCAGCTTGGAAGTGCTGGTCCGTACATGTAATACTTGTGCATCTCCCCCCACCCCCCACCCCCGCCATGTTTTAGGAAGGTCACCAAGGAGGCGGCATGTTCTGGATTGTGTTGACGCTGCTGGATTATGTTGTGTGAAGCCTTTCCAAACTCACATAAGTTGTTCCTCCTCCTCACCTCCCTAGCACATCACACTTACTGTATCGAATTGAAATTATCTGTTTATCTGTCTCCCTGGTTAGGTTTCTACTGGCGGACTGTGTGCGGCTTTCTTGGTCATCACCGTATCCCCCGTGCCCAGCATAGGGTGGCCGTTCGACACCCACTTGTTGAATGATGGAGTAAAACCAACTGTTGGCTTTCCTCCTTTGTTTCTCTTGAATTTTCGTTTACGGAAATCATTAAGCTGCAAGTAAGAAGCCGTTTTTTTCCTTCTCAGACCTGTGCCGTTTCTTTCTTGCAGGGGCTGACGCTGCCGAGGACGAGGAGGTCGATGTCACCAGTGTGGACCCGATTGCCGCCTTCTGTAGCAGGTGAGCCGCCTCTGCAGGCAAGGCCGCGGGGCGCTCCTCCCTCTCCCGCTCGGGCCCTGGTGTACGGCTCGCCTCGCCCGTCTGTGCTCCGTTCGTTAGTTCAAAGTGAGAACTCCTTTGGTGTACAAGAAATCCCTTCCCTTTTCCCCTCAAAGAAAATCTGAAGAACTGAGATAATTCATTTATACCATTTATTTTTGCTACTGATTTTGTTATTCCTATTGTCTGATTTTCTTTTACTCATCTTGGCTTTCTTAAAATTCTAGATCCATACCTGTTGCTTATGGTTAATATAGGTGATTCTGCCCTAGAGGAAGGGTTCATGGTTTAAGCAACTGTCTCCTCTTTTTTCCAATCCCTTGCCTGATCCTGTTCCCAATAGTGATGAAGAGCTGGAAGATTCAAAGGCTCTATTATATTTACCCATTGCCCCTGAGGTAGAAGATCCAGAAGAAAATCCTTATGGCCCCCCACCGGATGCGGTCCAAACCTCCCTGATGGATGAAGGGGCTAGTTCAGAGAAGAAGAGGCAGTCTTCAGCAGACGGGTCCCAGCCACCGAAGAAGAAACCCAAAACAACCAATATAGAACTTCAAGGAGTACCTAATGATGGTAAGGGCTGCGTCTTCTCCCTGTTTCCCTGGTAGACATCACTTCTTGCTCTCCAGCACAGTCGTAATTTCTCATTGGAGTGATTTTTACCTCGAAGGAAATTTCCCTGGAGTCTTTTTTTTTTTTTTTTTTTTTTTAATAACTCCTTACACTTTGTAATGATTTCACCTGCTTTCACTTCTCCTTTAAAATGGAGACATTGTGCCTTCGGGTACTTGGTTAAATGACAGCATGACATCTTCTGACCTCTGGCTCCGAGTTTGTTTCATTACACCATCTTTTCTTTTCTGTAGAGTGGTTTTATGGGGTGGTAAAGTACTGGTCATACCTGGATAATCTCTTCATTCTTCCTCCCTGCCTTTACATTCTGTCTCTAGAAGCTTTTATTCTCACCTCTTGGGGTAGGTTGTGGGGTGTGTGTGTGTGTGTGTGTGTGTGTGTGTGTGTTTGCCACTGACCATCCTCCTCTGTCTTTCCGCTGGCCGCGGTCCGTTCATTACACAGCTCCATGTTTCCCTGATTGCTGCTGGCGCACCTGCTGGTTTCAGGCGCTGCTGTGTGTATGCGCCACTGCTGAGTGTCACATCCACTCCGCAGGCTGTTTCACTGTCTCTGCTTTACAAAGGAGAAAATTTAGGCTGGGAGAGGTCAGGTGGCTTGCCCAAGGTCTAGGGAAGTGGAAGAGTCAGGACTGTCGCCCTGGTTGGCCTGGATCCGAGGCCCCCCTCCCTTTCTGTTCTCGCCTGCCAGTGACCGCGAGCGTTCCTGGTATGGCTCAGTGTGACCCCTTATCCCTGTGTGTCTCAGCTGCCTTTTTGGTGAGAGCTACTGTGGCAGGTCGTGGAGGCCACGTGTGCCCTTTGGCCAAGCGACCGTTTCTCATTCAGCAGCCACTCTTTTCACAGTTTTATGACTAGTAAGTGTCCACTTCTCTCCGAATATCAAGGAGTCTGGGGCAGGAGGGCGCCAGTTTTTGCTCCCAGGGAGTCATGGCATGCGGCCCTGTGCCTGGATGGGGTGCTGGGATGAGTGGTGTGTGGATCCCTTCCCGTGCCTCTCTGTCCTTTTACAGAAGTCCATCCACTACTGGGTGTGAAGGGGGATGGCAAATCCAAGAAGAAGCAAGCAGGCCGGCCTAAAGGATCAAAAGGTAAAGAGAAAGATTCTCCATTTAAACCGAAACTCTACAAAGGGGACAGAGGTTTACCTCTGGAAGGATCAGCGAAGGGTAAAGTGCAGGCGGAGCTCAGCCAGCCGTTGGCAGGTAAGGACACACTGGGAGTGCTGTCTGGCTTGCTTCGCGGCCTTGCTTTGTACAGCCCCGACTCCGTTTAGCTGCAGCCTTTCCTTCCTTCCCTCCTTTTCCCGCTGGTAGACTTCCGCAGAGTGTTAGCCTGACACTGAGGGTAGGCTAAACAGATTTGGCTTAATTCAGTGGCTCTTAACCTGGGGTCCATCAGTAAGTTTCCGGGAGTCTATTTTCCTCTGATACTGCCCACAGATACTGTATGAATATTTTTGTGGGGAAGACGCCCATTTTGTCTTTCTTTAAACTGGTCAAATCCCAGAGGTGGTGGCTCTTTCTCCGTCGTCTAGAAGCAGTAACAAAAACTTGTCAGTAGTACCATCATGTTAAGGAAGAAGGTGAAATGTTTTTCCAAATAGGAGATTATTACCAAAAAGACAGCAGTTACAGTATCCGTGTAGCTTCTTAACACCTGCGCCTTTGAAACTTTCGGAGTTCTGTCACTTTTATAAGATTGAGGGGGTTTATTGGGGGACGGAGAACAATTTTAATTTCCTGTCAAATACTTGTGAATGTAGGCTAGATGGTCTCTTGTTTGGAAAATAGTAATCAAGTGGAGTCCATTTCTTTTCTGACATCAACGGCCTTTGGAAAATGTTGTTCTGTGTACAAGCCCTGCTTTAGTGAAAACAGTGCTCTTGGTTTCCCGTGGCTAGCTCAGTAGACTTAGGGACAGGACTGATCAGCTACCAGCGGTTGTACTCAGGTTTTTTTCCTCTTGCTTTAAAATATTCAACTTCAGGGTGTGACCCCCGGTGTGCTGATGGGACACATGACTAGAACGTGCAACGGCTCCTTGTTTGAGGTCCACCCGCAATCAGTTAATCGTGGAACATGAATTCCCTTCTGTCAGGAATCTAAGCCTACTCAGTGACTCACTTTGAGTAATTCTACCTCACATGTGCTAGATTCAGGTGTTCATGACCAACACATGGCACAGAGCACCAGCGTGTTTCAACACCAGTATTTACGGTGTTCCACTGGTAACCAGTCCGCACGTCCACACTGAGTCCACTTAAGGCTCTCTATATATTTTAAAATAGCTGGGAAGAGTTACATGGCTATTGCCAACAAAGATTGCAGGTCAGTAATAGATTAATGTCAAAAAAAAAAAAAAGAAGATCCCCTCTATAACCTCTTTTTTTGTACAAGCATATGCCAGTACAGAAAAACATGGTTTAAATTGAAATAGATTCTACTGGCTTAAAGAGAGCTGAAATGCTTCAGGGTGATTTAAAAAGTGGCCAGAGGGACGCCTGGTGGCTCAGTCAGTTAAGCATCCGACTCTTGATCTCAGCTCAGGTCTTGATCCAGGGTTGTGAGTTCAAGCCCCGCCGTTGGGCTCCATGCTGGGCATGAGGCCCACTTAAAGATCAATAAATAAATAAGATATGGCCAAACGTACTGAATTAATTGAAATATTATAGGTCATAGTCTCTTAGCTTCTTCAGAACCTGTGAGTAATTAATCATTTGCTTTTTAATAGTATGGGTATGGCCTATAAACCATTTAAAAGTTTTTGGAAACTCACATTTTCCTCCCTTTAATACAGTGTTCTAGTACAGTGACTTTTTTTTTTTTTTAAGATTTTATTTTATTTATTTATTTGACAGACGGAGATCACAAGTAGGCAGAGAAGCAGGCAGAGAGAGAGGAGGAAGCAGGCTCCCTGTTGAGCAGAGAGCCCGATGCGGGGCTCGATCCCAGGACCCTGGGACCACAACCCAAGCCAAAGGCAGAGGCTTTAAACCACTGAGCCACCCAGGCGCCCCATGACTTTTAATTATAGTTGATGCAGGCAGTATCTTTGGCCTTCCCCAAGGGGTTTACCATGAATCGCTGTCAGATTTTAGAGCACAGAGTGTAAGAGCAGTGGTGTTTTCCTAGCTGTACTTCAGGAATGTCTAAATGAGAGTCAGCATCAAATGTGGGGAAGTTTAGTCAGCCATCTTTATTTCCTAAAATTCTCCTAATACTGAATAGTTGCAGTGAAATTTTGAGTTGTATGTAAAATAGACACTTCAATCTTAGAAGTCAGCGTTTCGAGCTCCGAGCAAGAGTGCATGCCAGGATCTAGGGCCCATTAGAAGTATATTCCTGCTCACTTTGCTGACAAGGTTAAATGAGGTTCTGATCTCAGTAAAGGCTAAAAGCTGTATCTTGAAGGGCAGAGTGCTGTAAACTAGACTCTGACTTTGTGTGGTATTTTTATCGGGTGCTTGAGTTGACCAGCTTTAGTGAGAGGCAGCTGTTTCAATGGCTTCACCCTTTAAAGCGACTAGAGACTTCTAGGTTCCAGGCCAGGGGGATGGTACCCCCTTATGACCACGCACACACACACACACACACACACAGAACAGCTGCCTAGAGGACGCAGACATCTCACCAGCTTCTTGAGACCCTGTGCAGGACGCGCTTCCCCACATAAACCACTTCCTTCCTCCCATTTTTCTCCTTGCTTCTCTGACCCTGTTCCTTGACCTTTTCCTGAATGGAAATCTCCAGAACTGCAGTGGCCAGATTAAACCAGAGAGTGCTGAGAGGCAGGATTTTTAAAAAACCTCAGATCAGGGACATCATAGTTTCTTCCCTCCCCAGGGCTGCCTCCAGTGTCAGGGACTGGCTGCGGCGTGGGCTGGAGCTTTGCGGAGGCTGCTTGTCCCACGTGGTGACACTGGGTGTCTCATAACTCCCGTCAGACCTCTGAGTTTCGGGACAACCTCCTATCTCTTGTGTGGCATTCTCAGGGCAAAAGTGGTACCTCACCTGGTGCCGTGGTCGGCCTGGAGGGTCCAGAGCAGGCAAAGGCTGGCTGGCCCAGGCTGTTGATTTTCACTTGGTTCTCCTGCCATGCTTCCCTGCAAAGGCCACTGAGGTTTAAAAAAAAAAAAAAAAAAAAAAAGTTGAGTTCTATAGTCACTTCAGAGATTTCCCGTAAAAAGCGGTCTGCGGTCGCTGTAGGTTTTCCGGGAGAGGGAAAGACACGAAACTTGATCCAGAGTGCCGGAGGTCGAAGCGTCTTCAAAAATCAATTCCGTCTGAAGGTTGTGTCTGCACATTCAAGGCTCGGCGGATCCGCCTCTGCCCCAACCTCTGCCCCCACCTCTGCCCCTGTGCCCTACCTTTCCATTAGAGCTGAATCGTTCGCAAGGGATTGTAGGCATGGGCTGTGCCGTTGGTCAGTCTAGATCAGTGGCAGCGGTTCGTCAAGATCTGCAGTTGACCGGTGACCGGTTACAGAAGGAGCTCTGGGGTAAGCCCCCCCAGGCCCTGACAGGGCAGGCACAGTCTGTCGCACAGTGCCGCAGGAGCTTACGTGGGAAGACTGGGAGAGACACAGACCTCTGCAGAGATAATCTGGCCTTCTGGAACCTGGACTACAGAAAATTCTTCCCCATCAAATAGCTCATCTGTGTTAGCTGCCTTCAGGGGACCCGCGTCCATGAAGACACACGGCTGATGCATGAGGACCCCTCAGCGAAGCTTGCCGAGTGCGGGCAGCCCTGAGCTTGGGACCCTTCGGAGAGGCCAGACCAACGTCGTCAGCGCCATCTCTGTGATTCCCCTAAGTTTCCTTACTAGATTCTCTCCAGAAGACAGTCCTCAGAACGGAAACTTGACATTGAGCAGAACCGCCAGGGCGCTTGTCGCCCTGTGAGGGCTCAAGCATTGCTGGAGAACTAGGGCTTCTTGGCAGTAAATGTCACCAGCAGCGAGTGTGACAGAGTTGTGGCCCATCACATACATGGTCTAAAGACCTCTTGGAAAGGAGGGCATGAAGTGGCGTGTGTCTGCCTGCATCTCTTGGGGGTGGCAAAGGCCAGAGCGAGCAGAGACACTGCGTCTGGGGGCGCTTGGACACCATGCGGGTTTCCGTGAGTGTGGCCGTGTCACTGCCCTGGTGCCCGCGCCACCCCAGTCCTCAGCCTCCTCAGTCCGATCATGTTGAGTGCTGGGCAGGGAGTGAGGGTTTTTCCTTACCTCTTCCTTCTCTTTTTTTTTTTTTTAAAACAACCTTTGAAAGACTAATTTATGAACTGCTAAAATCAGATAGCTCATAGGTAGTCTTTCTCATTCTTTGTGATCTTACTGGTGGGCTAAGGAAATATTTGGTAATTTTTGAGAGTTCATATCCAGCATTTTCTTAGGCCACCTTGGCTTTGGCTGCCGTCGGGAGGTACCAGTAACAGCTGCTCATCGTGAGATTAAGTTTTTCTTAATTTTACGTAACTGGAGATTTTCTTTATGTTGCCTCAAAATACTATGGATCCTTGGGGCAAAATTTTAAACAGCCCGGAGCTCTTTTGTTTTGCTGTATTTTACCTACTCATAGTATTATTGCTTGCTGTGGTTTTGGCTTGTTGCCTAATGCCTCAACAGGCCTCTTTTGTTTTTTGGTCTGTCCACATGAATGAGGATGTTACAGAAGCATTAACTGACCTCAGATAATCAGTATAACATACCTCATTAGTCATCTTGAGTGCTCGTTATTAATACTACTGATTTGTGATCAAACCAGTTTTTCCTGTTGTGATTTAGTCTTAAAACATTAATGGTGTATTCATTTTTAAACGGCCTAAAGAAGATTGGTCAGGGTACCTCTGGGCACAGTCAGTCAAACTAGCCTTAATGCAGTCAAGGCACGGTGTCCCGTCCTGCGCAGTAGATGACCCCGCCGCAAGGATTCTTTTAAATAATCAATTCAAGAAGTTGTTATGTTTTATGTTGAGAGATCTGAAAAAGAAGTGCTGAAGAAACTTTTTCTCTTACTGAACTGTATAAAGTTTAAATTTGATTTTTAACAACGTAGCATCTAGAAGAGTTTGTGTCTCCTAATTTCTCATCTGTCCTCAGGCAAATGGGAATATATTTTTATTGCCAGTTTTCATCTGTGCTTGAACTTTTACTTTAAAAGTCGGGTTAAAAGCAAATTTATAAATGGGTATTTTTCTTTTATAACTTGGACAGTTATTTTTTACTCATTTTATAACTACCAAGTGGCATGTTCCCACCCCACCCTACCCACCCCACCCCCCAATTCCGGATGGCACCTGGGAGGGTTTTCTTCACCTTGTTCTCTTCTTACACTTCCTAGTTAATATTTTACAGCAGCCCATTTAAGGATGTCCCCTCAGAGGTTGAACAGCTTCTGTGGAATAATCAGGGAAGTGTTCATTGGATTTTACTATTGAGGATTTTATTTATTGATCAGACATTGGTGCATAGAAATGCCGGCAGTAGGTTTCATTAACATTTCACCATATTGGGATTCTAAGGTGAGGAGAATGTCAGCGAAGGCACAGGGGTGCTTGGAAAAGGGCCTGTTGCGCATTATTATTTAGTGACTGATTAAGCTAATATAGGAAAGATGAAGAGACGTAGCACCCTAGAATTTCCTTTCCTCTCCTTGTTGCACTCCTTGGATTGTAAACCATTTATCGACATGTTGGAGAATGGTTAGCAGTTTAGAAGACGTGTGGAATTCTGAACAGTTTGCCTTTCCCCCCCTTGGGGCAGTCCTGAGGAAAGTGCTAGGATGGGGGTTTGGGATATGGATTATTTGTTGCTTCAGTAAAGAGTAAATGAGAGTTGAGTTGGTTTTAACGTAAAGGGGGAGTTCTTAGCCCACGTGTGCTTGTCGGGCATCATCCAGCATCCGTCATTTCTGTTCTTGCCCGCTGTTGGTTCAAGTTGATGCTAAAAGACGTTTTTTTGTGTCTCCCCTCTTTAGCAGGGGGAGCGATCTCAGAACTGTTATGAAGATGCTTGAAGTGCTTCGTTCTTCCCCACTTTGCCATCATGTGGCCTCTGGACACTGTGGTCAGTCATTTGAGATTGACTTTAATTTAAAACAAAGGCCTCTGCCTCCAACCCAGGAGGTACAAGGAGGGAATCGTCTATTTGAATGAAGAAGTGAATTATGGAAGAAGAGTACGCGGCCCTCCCCTTCAAACATAAGTCCACATAGGCTCTCAGGAATGAGGATTTGTGAAGACGTCACCAGGAGTTTGGACTCATTTAAAATTCAATGCTTAGTTACGTTGCTGGAGAAAAGAGACCAGTTTTGCTCCTCTAACTCTTGTGCCCAGGATCATTTTGACTTGATATTTCCTATCCTATTTGCCTTCCATCCTCCGTGCATGTCCTCAAGTGACTAATTCTCATCTGAAATTTTGCTGCCGGTATCCTAGAGAAACTTCTGTTGCATATTCTGTCTTCCATTTTTGAACTTAACTCTCTCACCAGATACCCTCCTGTATTTCCCTGCTGTGTACGGAGGCTGGGCAGAAAGGAAAGTGCTCGAAAGCTTTCAAGTTTTTGGAAAGGGAAGAAGGATGAGAAAGACCCCCTCTTCTTAACATACCCCATTTTGCTCAAGAAGCTGGGCTGTAAGAGGGTCGAGGTTTTTCTCTGTTTTCCTTTCATGGCATGTTTTCCTCCAGTAGTGGTTCACTCTCAGTAATCATGGTTTCCGAAGAGCACTGGTTTCGTCCATCCGCAGCAAGGAATCATCAGTAGTTCATGTGGCTTCACCTGTGCTGGCGTCCAGAGAGGAAGACAACCTGAGGTGTCTCTCCACAACCTGCTTTTTCATTGGGGTGGGGGAAATCTCCACGAGGATGGAAGTCAAATCGTCCAGAATCAAAGCAGCAGCAACACAGTTCAAATCAAAGATCAAGGAAAAATTGTTTTTTATCATTGCGTGTGGATCTCTGTCCCTTCCTTTCAGTCGGGACAGTGTCCCCTTGTATCCCCGCTCCTTCTCCGTACGACATGTTTTCAGTCTCTTCCTTTCTGTGAAAGGTCGCTTAGCTTTTAAAAATTTTTTTTTTTACTTTCTGCTTCTTGCGTTTGCTGTTCTTTATATACAAGGTAGCAGGTTGGATGGACGAGTACATGAGGTGTATGAGGTGTTTGAAATTCTCGGAGAACCCAGATCCCAGGTGTGCAGGGGGTTCTCTGCAGAGAGCTCTGAGCTGCCCGGAGCTGCCTGACCCAGCCGTCATCGTGGCTGTTGTCGTGGCTGTGGTCGTGGCATCCTCTGAGGATCGTCTCCGTGCTCTTCTCTGTGTAGTCCTCCAGCAGCCAGTGCCCCTGTGGGCCGCCCCGCGAGGGGATTACTTTTTGGATTTTAGGATAGCAATCAAAGTAGACTTACATCAGGAAGAGCCTCTTTCTCCTCCATCTTTTAGAACCAGAATATTCAGTAGTTGAAGTAAGAGCTCCCTGCTAGTCGGTTTCAAAATGCCTGTGTTTTTGGCCGCCACCGCTTTTTTCCTCCCATGCTCTTTTTGTGGATTTCATTTCTTCAGGTCAGACCAGTGGTTGAGATTGGCAGGTGGCTCACTGGACGTGTTTTTTGTTTTGCAAACATTGTTTCCATTCCATTTCTCTGTGTCTGTGCACCGTGGGCTCCATCTTGCACAAACTGTGATACAGAGGGTCTCTGCCTAGCTCCCGTGGGCAGGGTAGCTTGGTGGCCTCTGCTTGTGTGTGCGTTGGGAGGTTGGGAGGTTTCTGCTACGTCCGCCTCCTAAACTGGCTACTGAGAAAATGGGCTTCAGCCCTGTCGGATGGTCTCTGGCAGCAATTCCTAATAATTATTTATGCTTTCGGAATTTTTTTTCGGCTCCTGAAATTTTCTTTCTAGTTTGATTTTTCTCCGTCTGTACAATATGTGCATATTCTCTTCTCTTTTGTTATTCCTTCCCTCCAACCCCACCCCCCCACCCCGCCATTTCGTTTTTTAATGTTCCATAGTTTTGTACAAGAGGAGACTTAGCCTTGGGTTACTTCTTGCTGAAGCTTTAATGCTTTGTAAATAAAATCGGATGTTTATTAAGAACAGGTGTGGATGTTGGTTTTGTGGACGCTGCTTCTGAAACTCAGTAGCCCCTTTTGAGTTGTAGGACAGGAAATCCCGTTTACTGTGCTGATGCTCTATCTTTCTGTGCAGAGAGGCAGACCCGGGAGGGGTAGGGGGTGCTTGGGGAGTGTAGGGTTCTGCCTCTGGACAAGATTATAAATAAACGATTCAAGCAAAGAGTTGGTGTTAAATCACAAAGATCATCTAGGAATGCTCTCTCTCAATTCTTTAACTCCGTTGGTGTATGTAAGTACATAGTAGAGGCCACGGAGCTGGGGGAAACGCATGTGAGGGCATTCCTCCCTTCCAAGGACCTTCCTTAAAGTATAAGTACTGTTAAATTCCTCTTTCTTTGACTTTCCCCCCTAGATTAAATTACTTTCAAACTCATAACGTCTGTTTAAGTCTTTGGTTTTAATCATTGTCACATCTGAGTGTCTACCACTCAGTTTTGGTTTGGTTTGCTCTGAGCCTAATAATCCGTCTTTGAGGTCATAGCTGTTTCCTAGCAACCTTGACCCAAGTGAATGATGGGCTCCTGTGTTCTGTGGAGGTAAGGGAGTAGGCCAAGAGGTGGGCAGGATTATGTATCCCCTCCCCGCAAAAATACCTTCAGCGCCCTTATAAAGGAAGAGTGTCTAGAATGGGGAGAGGGGCTGTATTTGGTATTGTCCATCTTGCCCATAAACATTCGGATTCTAAAAGGGCAGCTTGGTCCTTGTTTCCGTGAATTTTCATTTCTATTTAAAATTCCTTACCCATGAACAGAGTTTCACACCTTATCAAGTGTTTTCATGTACAGTTTATCATTTATTGCCCAAAGTGACCCCCCTGAAGTAGCCAAGGCGGTCTTAATTTACAAAGGAGAAAATAGAAATAGAAATTCAGGAAGGATCAATCACTTGCTTGCCTCCCAGTCCAGAGTTCTTAATCCTTTTTTTACAGAAAGTTTAGGAGCCTTTAAAGTCAATAATAACTTAATGCAAGGTAATTCTCTTTATTTTTTTAGACCTGGTATTTGATTTCTGGGTTAGATTTAATTGGGGTTTTGAAGCTCTTTGATTTGGATCCCATGTTCGGAGAGGAGGGGTGGAGTGAGGAGGAGTAACTTTGCAATGCATTCGAAGTAATTTGGACATTGACCAGAAGCTGAAGTCTCTTTGTCTTTGTCTTCCCAAGAGGGTGGGTTTAAGTTCATGGTAAGGGCTTGGACAGAATGAAGACTGGAGAGGTGGGCACCGGCGAGCAAGAGCTAGTAAAGCAGCAACGTGGTGACTTTTTCCTCTGCCTTGTGGCCTCGCCTGTTCCTAAGGACTGGACCCGTGCCGATCGAGTCACAGTGTGTCCTTGACCACAGGTGCAGCCCATCTTTTGACGTTGAGGGAGCTCCTGCATCAAAGGAATGGAGTGATGATGTAGAGGATTCGCCGAGGACAGCTCGGGTGCCAGCTGACAGTGGGGAGACATGAGGACCTCGGCCGCTGGTTTCCTCCTTGGGAGCCTGGTGTTGGCCTTTGGTCTGCCTTTGGTGGTGACTTCACCGAAAACACTGGCCATCCCAAAGAAACTGCAGCAAGCCGTGGGGAGGGTTATTGTCAATGCCACCACCTGCACGGTCACCTGTGGCCTTGGCTATAAGGAAGAGACGGTCTGCGAGGTGGGCCCTGATGGCGTGAGAAGGAAGTGTGTTTCTCAGCGCTTGGAGTGTCTGATGAACTGGGTCTGCGGGATGCTCCACTTCACCGTCCACAGAGGGAAGGCGTTCGAGCTGAGCTGCCTGAATTCAGACATCCTGCAGGTGGGGAAGGAGGCTTTCCGGTTCACCTGGAGGCTGGCTCGCGGCATCATCTCAACTGACGATGAAATCTTCAAACCCTTCCGGGCCAGTTCGCACTTGGTGAAGTTTGAGTCTATTCAGGAGTATGACTCTGGGACATACCGGTGCGATGTGCAGCTATTAAGGAACTTGAAATTTGTCAAGAGGCTCTATTTCGGGCTGCGGGTCCTTCCCCCTCACTTGGTGAACCTGAATTTCCATCAGTTCCTTACTGAGAATCAGAAGTTAGTCGATCAGGGTCTGGAAGTGAATCTGGACAACAGTTCTAAGCCTCAGCACCCACCGTGGAAAAAGAAGGTGGCCATAGCCTTGGGAGTAGGAATCGCCAGTGGAGTGGTTGGTGGCGTGTTGCTGGTCATTGCCCTCGGCAGCGGCCTGAGGCTGATGCATGGCAGTGATGGCCTCGAGTCCTTCAAAGCCTTCCTCTGGAAAGGCTGGCTGTCCAGGAACCCGGACCAGTTTAGAAAGCCAGGCTAGCTTTTTAAAGGAGTATCTGGCGGTCTGATTGTGGCCTGGCTAGGAGGGAGGGCTTCCACTGCCCCAAGAGTGGGGCACATAGAGAGGGGCAACGTCATGGGAGTGCACTGGGCAACGTTCCAGATGGATCTCTTCCTGATCTTCCTACCACGAGGCCCGCAAAAAGCCTAACCCTAGGCACCACCGCTGCTCCTGGGGAGAGTTCTGGCTTCTAAGCTTGCATTCACGATCTCTTAGAACTTGACGCCTCTCTGCCTCCGTCCCTTCTTCTGAGCAGTATAATCTTGTAGAAGGACATGTAAACAGCTTTCCTAGTGGAAGCCGTTTTCTCCTCTTCAATAAAAATCATTCACAGTAGCTGCTTGCAGACCTCACCTTCTCTGTTCTTTAGTTAAAAATCTCTTCCAACTGTTTGAGTGGCCCCCTGATCAGTCCAGCTTTCCTTTTCCTCCGACTTCTCAGAACAGACATTGCCCCCATTGCTTTGTAGAAAGACATATGCCCTCGTGTGGCGGAGCCAAGGCCTCTGACCTGGGTATGGTAACGGTCACTAAATGTTTTAAGTTGCCCCTTCTGTACTTCCTGGGCGAACCGTCTGTGTTCAGCGTTAAGCTGATTCTTGGCGGATCACTGGATTCTCTGTCCGGTAGCTTTCCCCTGATGGTTTCTCTACTTGCTCGCTGCTCCTCTCCTCGCTCTTCCAGTGCCCACAGAGAAGTCAAGTGTGTTGGTTTCTTAGAGCCGCCAAGGCCACCAAAGGAAGAACTAAGACCTTCCTACCTCCATAGGAAATCAGTCCCAAGACCCACAGAGGCCATTCAGACTGTGTGAGATAATCAGCCTGTGGGGTTGTCAGGGCAAAGGCTCTTGGCCACCAGCTGAGCTAATTCTGAGAGAATTGGAGCATTTCTTCCCCCTCACTTTCCTCCAGCTGCACACGTGGCAGTGGACGTGAGGACTTGGGCTAGCGGTTGTCTTCTCTAGCTGTGTGTCTGAGTCAACCCGGATGAGCTTTTGAAGAATGAGATGCCTGAACCCCAATTCCAAGGATGCTAATAGGATCACTTTGAATTATGGCTGATGGCTGTCTGTTGGTCTACTGTTAAATATAATTTCAAGGGTGCGTGACTGGCTCAGTCGGCGGAGCGCGCGACTCTTGATCTCAGGATTGTGATTTCAGTCCCCCATGTTGGGCATAGAGCTTAATTTTTAAAAAAGTTAAAATAGGGGCTCCTGGGTGCCTCAGTGGGTTAAAACCTCTGCCTTTGGCTCAGGTCATGATCTCAGGGTCCTGGGATGGAGTCCCGCTTCCGGCTCTCTGCTCAACAGGGAGACTGCTTCCCTCTCTCTCTGCCTGCCACTCTGCCTCCTTGTGATCTCTGTCTGTCAAATAAATAAATCTTAAAAAAAAAAAAAAGTTAAAATAATTTCAACCCCAAAGAGAAGTGGAAAGAAAAATTTGATGACGACCCATAGATTCTCTACTTAAACTCACCAATTGTGAATGTTTTTCTACGTTTATCTGACTTTACTGATGCTGACTTT